CAAGAAATATTGTGGCTTAATCGCTTACTAAATGGTCTAATTCAAGCAGACAAACCTGTGCTAAACTTAGACAATGAGTCAGCTATAAAACTTGCACATAATCCGCAATATGAGTATCATAAGCGTACGAAACATATAAAGTTGAAACACTTCTTTATTCGAGAGTGTGTGTGCAATGAAGAGTTTATGGTCAAACAAGTGACCTCAGAGCTACAGCTAGCTGACATGTTCACGAAGCCTCTATTTGGCCCAAGGTTGCAGGAGTTAAGCAGACGGATTGGGCTGAGAAATTTAGATGTCTAACATCTAAAAAAAAAACGGAGGATGTTAAGTATATACATACCAAAGACAAGTATATGAAGATACTTGTTCCTAGTTCTAAGTTCTTAATGTTTTAGTTGCTTAGTAACTTGTTGTTATTTTTATAAGAATAGTTTCTGTTATGTTTTCTTCAGTCAGTAAATAGTTTATTCGAATTCAATAGATATTCTCATTCATTCTTAACAATTTCAAGAACTAATTTTTATTTTTTAAATACTTCCTCATTTTTAGGAATAAAGAGAAGCCCAAAAGAAAGGCTGCTAAAAGAAAGGAAAAGCTCGTTAAAAATACGTACCTAATAGTTACGTCAAAAATTTGTGCAGTAGAAAGTACATAATTTTGTCATTGGAATTTTGAAGTAAGATATTGGTGAATTTTTATATTGCTAGTTGCGATCGGTCGCGAGACCATAAGCTAATTCGTTTATGTAGATGGAGACTGGATTAGTGAAGCGGTCATCACTGCTTCTACTTATTAAGTATGTGGTCTTGGACCAACAACTTGGTTATAAGAGGGTTTGGGTGATTCTTTCGACGATCCATGTGTCTTTTTCGATATGATTCGATTTCAGCGGCCACTGTTGGCATGTTCAGATATGCATGGATTTCATCGTTCTTGGTGAATCGAGTTTTGTACTCGTTGGAGACATAGTATATTCGATTTGCTCGCCACGTTTTAAAACTGAATTATATATCAGCAGCTTGTTGTCGACGGACAGTACCGAATTCCTTCCCATCAGCCAGAATAAGCTTTGATACGTTGTGTTAATTTCGTCGTATAGTGTGATATATTCTGTGGACTTGTTCGATCGTTGATTGTGCCTTTCTGAAGTCAAACTGATGAACTGGAGTAACACTACATTCATTCATGGCCGGAAGAAGTCGCAAAGGCATATTCTTTCCCATAGTTTTGAGAGCACCGGAGTCAAACTTATAGGCCTTTATGACGATCCTTTATGTTCAGGCTTTCCTTCTTTATGTATCATTACCACTTGTGATACCTTCCAGAGTGTTGGAAAGTAGGATGTTCTTAAGATGGCAATAACTAAACAAGTAAGGAGAGTGACAGCTTTATTGCGTAGATGTTTAAGTATCGTTGGCGTTATAAGATCAAAACTTGGAGCTTTTTGGCGTCAAGGTTTCTTATTTCTCGTGCTACTTCTATCGGCGATACTGGCTTGATTGGCAGGTGCATCTGTAGGTCTCTACTCAAGATTATGTCTACTTCTGTTTCATCCGATAGATGCTCATTGGGTTTTGAACACTAGACAATAGAGCACGCTAACCCACCAGACTGCCCCCTGTTAAAGGCCAAGGTGAGGGTGCATCCTTAGCCCTAACCAGTCTCATAGAAGGATTCACCTGGGCTAAACCCACGTGAATCCTTCCCCCAATAGATCCGGTACCGTCGATATCCAGCCCAACTGAGCCAGGCTGGTTATTGTTTCACCGACCCTTAGTCGCAACTGCGGCAAATCACGGCGCGGCCGAAGTGCAAGCAGTAACCTTAGCCACTATTCTGGAAACAGTTCGTTACATAATTCATTTAGTAAATTGTTTCTTAAGTTGAAAAATAGTTATTAAAACAAAAAAGAAACATTTCAATCCGATGTCTAATTAACGAGAAATACGTTGGCAAACTTATAGATACACATACATAATGTACACCTACAAAATGTAGCACACTTGTTTAGAAGCGCATATAGCCTAACACATATGAGATAATATAATAATTACATACGTACAGTTCAAATTGATAAGCTTATTTCTTTTAAGATCAGTTAAAAACGTACAGGTCAAGTTGATAACCTCTTTTGCTGTTGTCGGTTAATGATGTACATACACAGAGAAACCAACGGCCCCCTTTTTTAAAGTTGGTTAAAAAGGTCATCAATTGTTACTCCTTTTATAAGTTTGTTAATTTTTAGTCTTTTGTAAGTAGATTAAATTTTAATAGTTTATATCTTTAAAACTACTGCACCGATTTTGATAAAAGTTTGCGAGATATCCGTGGACAAACATAAAGACATACAAACTTACATAGATACATATATACATCTATAAAATTTTGCACACGTGTTTAGAAGCCCATACAGACCAACATATATGAATATTACATGATTCCAACGAAGTCACATTCACCTCGAATTGATAGCCTCCTTTTTTGAAGTCAGTGTATAAAAGAGGAACTAAATTATATTTATTACATGGCAACACCAAAGTAGGAGGTCAAAGTGGAAATTGGAGTCTTTTATAAATTCACTTATATTTATATATAAATCATTGCTGCAATGTGATTTAATATACCTAAGACTATAAAGAATGGTGCAAGACCAAACGATAATAATATTTTTAAAAGATGTTTAGCGCAATATCACACACGAACAGTGTTATCATAGTCAGATAATCTTAACAATCGAATTACTGAAATTACAGGTATTTATTTACTTCAACTTAACTTTAAACAAAAAGTGGACATTATAAATAACTATAATTTAGTACTTATTAAATAATTTCCGGATAGTTTTAGAGGCTATGTTTACATTACGAAAACAGAAGCTTCGTATAGGGTGACCACATAATTTGATTACCGCGTCAAACTCGTGTAAATGTTTTCACTATATGTCATATATTTAAATTTTGGAGCATTTGAAAATGTCGTATTTACTGCTGTAAATACTAACGGTGTCTAATTATTTTAAATTCAACCAATATCCTCTATATCGATTATTTTCGTGACCAATTTTATAAATTGGTAATATCTAGTAAAATGATCTACTAATAAGTGAAGATATTTTTTTGTCCGTCTTTAGCCTCCAAACCTTATCGTGTCAATTGATATGATTTCAAAAGATTTTGTCGCTGGACCTAAATGAGACATAAATCCATATTCATTATATCCTTATGATTTATTTTTAAGACAAACTTCACAGGTTAAACAAACTTTTTTGTTGTCAAATGCTCTGCTGCATAGAGAGCGGACTAACCATAATTTCTATTTGTCCAAATCCAATGCGGCACAGACTCTGATGTATGTTTTTCAAAAAATCGATGCTGAATTCTTTTCATAATATTATTTTTTCTTTTTTCTTGATTTTTTTTTGTGGTATAAGTTGTGTTTCTTGGTAAATTTCCTTTTAATATTCTGTATGTTTCTATTTTTATTCTGATCCGCTAACATATTTTGTAACCTAATTAAATTCATGATTTCTAATTGTTCATCAGTTAGTTCCAATTAATTTCACTTTCAAAGGAAAAGTTTCAACACCTGAGTTTTCACTATCCTACCAAATCTATACTGTTATCGGGTGAATAAAAATCGTATAGGTAAGGTTTTAAAAAACCGAATAAATTTAGGTAGTTCTTCCCTACGAAAAAATACTGATACGGATGGAATCGAATACGGAGAAGCGTCATGATGATTGGTGGGTTTTAACGACTGCAAATGCAGCGGGGACAAATTGCTTAATGTGCTCTCTGAAGCACAGAGGAATTCAAAATAATACATTTTTAGTAAGCCATCTTATGACCGGCTTGTGAAAGTTGAGTAATTTCCGTATCGCAGACCGAATGCGCTAACCACTGCACCACCATCGAGCTTCTCCTTAAAATTGATATAGTTGATTAAAGTGAGCTATTTGTTAGTTATGTGATATTAGATTGATTGAGAAGGAACGAGGACGAAGAAAATAGAAGTCTGTTATTAATAACAGAGCAGAATTTTATCAAAAGGTCAACCAAGTAGGCATAAAAAAACAAATTTGATATTTCGATTCTTAATGATATGAAGAGACAACAGGTAATCTATACTAATACAGGAAAAAAAAAAATTAACCAATGCGAATTCTTTTTTTTTGTGATTCAGTATCAGTAATAGAAGAAATTTCTATTATTTGCTTTAATTTTTTTTTATTTTTATTCGGACTAAAACGGTAGAATTTGGATACAATTTTGTTAATAAAACTTCAATGAATTGAAGAGACTCGGAAACTACTGTACCGATTTTAAAAATTCATCATTCATCTTGTGATAACTTTAACATTTCAAAAATACTTTGTATTAATTTCGGCAGCAGACGCCTACGGTTCTATACAGGTCCTTGTTTTTCGTGACGTCCTTATGATTCTTTTAGAATAAAATTACAGAATGTAAGTGAACCACTTTGGTGTTCCACGGATCAGAAATGTCGAATTCTTTCATTCACTTTCTTGACGACGTTATTAGTTATATTAGATAAGTATTTTAAATATATAATAGTTTCAGCAGATCTCCAAATAATACATGGTCATAAGATCCTACTACTCCTTGGTCGAATAACGTGCACACCGGTTTCATGGCTTCGTCATCTCGGAGGTCTTGGATTCGGCTCCCCATTGAATATTCATTTATACGTTTAGTATTACATAACTTATATCTATTCACCATTATTCTCTTTGGTGGAGGACAATCAAACGGAAGGAAATGAAATACTAATAACAAATAATAAAAGGAAATACTATAGAAACGTAATGAAGTCTTAATAGATATGTTCCCTTACTTCTTTTTGGTAAGGGTCGTGTTATTGTATGGAGGCTAGTACAAACAGCCTGTTCGAGTAGCGAGCCGATCCGTGGGAGAAGGGGTCGCGGGCGCGGGGGCTTCGGTGCCGTTACGTGGTGCGCTCGCGCCGCAGCCGGTGCCACGACGCGGACGTGCTTCACTCAGTTCGTGCGCGAAAGTCGTTACCTGCGTCACACTCGCATTTCCTCCACACGCAAACATAAGTCCGTCGGTAAACAGATGAAACATTTGCAAAACTAACCAATTTATATTTAATAATCGGATCCTTTACGATCAGTGGGCAAAGGCCCTGTGTAACGTAACCTTGTGCTGTGCTGTGCGAGAAAGTGTGTGACGTCATAGGGACCGGCCGGGGCGATCATATGTTGGACGCGGATGCAGTGATGGAATGTGGCGTGTTATTGTAGTGACGTGCAATGGTGGTGTGCCTTGGTTTACCTTTATAGCAGCAGTGCCGCCTGGGAGCGGATCTTCTACGGGTAAAATGCGTAGAAAAAGATGAACCAGGATGCTGAGAGCTTGGTAATATTATTTCTATATTGTTTCACTTATTTAATTATCTAAAATACTGCTGGAATCACTTTATACTGAGTATCACTCTTTGATATTGCACACAAACACACAAACTGAGACGTCTTCGTGTCTACGTTTGATTTTTTTCTGAGACGAATTGTCTATTTATAATGATGATATTACATCTAGAATATAAAGTCTGCCGGCATACATTACGTTATTTCTATTGATGACGTTCAAGGTTATCACAGTTATAGTCAAATCTGTGGGGGTGTTCTTTCACAATATACATTACCAGTTTAGGCTCCACCGTATCTTGATTTTAGAATTGTAATTTCTTAGAGAACTTATCCAAATCCCTTAGATTACATTTAAATCCATTAACCATTACAGCAAACATATTTTTTTTATATAGAAATCGTGATGATTTTCCTTAACCCGGTTTCACATGTAATATATAGGTCAATTAAGGATAAAACATAAAGAGTCTCTTAATAAAAACTGCATAATAGGATGGCGAAATAATTACTAATTGATAACTGTACTACAATAAATAACGTGTTACTGTAATACAATAAATGACACCAAATATTTATTTATAGTCTATAGTTTAAACTAACGCAGTTATATCAGCCAGTGAGATATTTAGCTATATTGGTATTTATCCCGTTCAAAAACCTGTATAAGAACAGACGATGAATCATGTATAATGTGAGGGCGTAATGTCCTCTATAAATGGAGAACTAATCGAAAAGATGTCAACGAATAGTTTTGCATAAAATTTTTGAGGTGAACAAACTGGTAGGCCTACTTTTAATGAATACAATAAATAGAATGATATTCTTCCTTTGAATCATAGATTGAATTAATGATTTTGACGGTAGGCTTCCTTGAGTAACCGAAATATATATCCCATGATATTTCTTTACATTAACATTTTTTAATTTCGTCGACAAATAGTAATTGTATAGGTACTGTACCAGCAATTTCATAATTTTCCAACGGAATTCGAATACGTTTGAAATACACATTTTGCATTTTTCTTTTTGTACGTAAGTAAATACCTTAATCAGCTCATTTTCATTGTTTTGCTGGGGCTATTAAAACTACGTAAGCAATAAAACTTTATGCATAACTGTATAACATTTTAAAGACAACTCGATCAATAATGTATATTTCTGTATCACATTCATTTTTGAATTACGCAAGTATGATCATGTTTCCGATTTCCGTACTAAGCTCAAGTGTCTACCAATTCGTCTTCGCCGGAATGCACATATTGTCTCTCCTCTATAATATTCTGTTTAATCTATTTTCACAAGTTTACCCCATCCCATGTATCCTTAATATTATGTTAAGGTTGTCTGGAAGAAATTGCTTTTTAGCAATGAGGTGGCCAATTGTACTGTCAGTCACATTATTATGTATTATTCATTTACTTATGGTGTGTACAATAAAGGGTTCATTTATTCATTAATAAATGATACATCTACCCGACTCCAATAATTTTTTTTTAAAATTTGAACACCTTTAAGATACTTAGTAAACGCTTATTCTGTTATATAACTCTCAAAATTAAACAAAAAATCTCTAATATTATTATTTTATTTTAATGTGGTTCTATTGTCATTGTTATCTAAGAAATATACTCTTGTATATGTATTATAAATTAGCTAAGGAGATTTCTTTTTAAATCAGTCCAGAAATTTCGGGGCCTTTCTAATGCAAACAAACAAATCTCTACTTTTTTTAAAGTTACAGTATAGATAATAAGATTACTGCTGTCGACATAGTTTTTTTACAGAATTAAAGATTTAGTTTGATAGCTTTGAAACATAATTTAGTCTAGCTTCAACAACGGAATGGTCACCAATATTTTTATAGAAGTTTTATAAGTATGATGTTATGTAGTTTGTTGCGAAATTTGTTTTACACATTTCCAGCAACACAGCGATGTCGAAAGTGTTCGTGGGATAGTAGCTTACTTCACGCATGCGTTCTAGTTTCTATGCTATTGTATTATGCCAGGTTTTCTTACAGACAGCTGTACAATTTTATATAAATTCCACATATACCTCATCATTCAGAAATTTCATTCATCATAGTTTCGATGTATTTGTTCTGAAATTGCTGGAGATTCTGTTTTACCACTCTTTAAACTAACTAAAAAATGCTAATTTTTATTTTGCCTTGTTTAGTAAAGGAAACTGTTATATTCCTTTATACTATGGCTAGATGCTTACCCCTGTTGATTTAAGCGTATAAACTTTCAATACCTATTTCGCCTCCTAAACCTCAACAAGGTTGATATTCCAAAAATTCTTATTTAGTGAATCTATTCCACTCCACGAAAAATCCAAAACGACTTATAACATCACAAGGAGTTTTCAGAAAAAGAAAATCGAGGAAGGTTTTAACAGTCAAAATTAACATTGCTTTGTCCTTATGGAAAATTACACAAAGATTGAAATAATGTCCATTACTTATTTTTAATGTGACATGTGATAAATGATGATGTAATAAATGATTAAATATATGAAAATATATGATGTAATAATAAATGATAAATTTTACATGCAATATTGATAAATATCATCAAAAAAAAAAATCCTTTTAAAACACTAGTCATACGTACCCCAAGATGGAATTTTTCTTAACAAAACTGCTTTTAGGCTTTTAGGGAAGTACCGTTATACTCCCCTTAAAATCATTAAAATATCAACTTTTGTTGATTCTTTGTACTCAAGTTCGCAATTTGTTAGACAAACTTGTAGCCCGCAATTCGGCAGTCAACGCATTTTTCCGTAGAAAGTGAAACCAGCCGGACCTTCGAATACTTTCACGTCACGTTACGTTATATGGTACCATAGTAATTATTTTTCGAAGAAATCATGAATGGGAACGAAACTAATTGAAAAGTGAAGTCAATGATTTCGTTTGAATGTCGCGTGCACAGATTTATATAAAATTATATTTGCAAATGATGCGCACGAAATGGTTTATTAGGATGCTATTTTGAAACGCGTTGAAGTCTTTTCTTCTCCTTTTTGTCATGATTGTATTTAAGTATGAGACTTAACATATTTTTGTTTGACAGCATTGTTATGTGATTGTATTATATCTGTAGATGTTCCTAGTGTACTATGTAACATATTGATATTTATTGCGTTCTCGTTGAATGTGCGAGATATGAATATTTGCACATCTGTTTTTTTATTTCTTGTAAATCATTTTTTTCTAAAACACTTATAAATTGATATGTCAAATTATTTTACACTACTATTTTAACAATTATATTGCATTATTTAACCATTTGTAAAATTATAAATTAATTGAGAAACAAAAATATTTTGGTGAAATAAACAATGGTGAAACTACAATGAATGCTAAGATAAAATTTTCTTTATGAATTCAAATCAAACGGAAGCTAAATTGATTTAATTGATTTAGAATTGACTCAGTATATATTGATAAAGATCTATAAAGTTTTGTAAGTACTCATAAAGCAAGTATTCACTGTGTTTTAGTAACAGACTTCATTATACATTCATCGTAGAAGAAAAGCGATCACGTGTCCAAAAGTGATTTTTTAATATTTATTTCATCAGTAGCTCATGACAGTTCCTTTTTCTTTCACAGAGAATAAATTGATAAAATGAGAATAAATGAATTAAAAAATTAAGCTAAACACTCAAATTCGTGTCAAAATGTGCATGTAATAGGTTTTGAATCATTGAGAGCATTTTGAAGCATTGAGTTGTTGTTGAGAGTCATCGCGTTCGTTGCACGAATACATGTCGTGTGTTGTGTTTGTACTAAGTACTTCCACAGGAGATCAATTTAACTTATTATCTAAAAAAGTATTTGGTGCATAAGGCATTTTCCCTGTGTTCAAAAAAATAGGCATCTTAATGATGAAGCTACTCATCTTGGTATCTGAATAATGTAGATATTGATTTTGTTTAGTAATCGTTTGTTTATGTCAAATCAAATAACAATCACTTACAACTCTCCGGCATGCAAAAACTGTTTTGGAATTTTGTATATACATACATACATAAATACATATAAATATTAGGGGTTAAAGTATGAAATTGCCGTTTTATTGTAATAAGTTCTTAAATAGTCTTCAGTGATTTTTTAATACGAGTTCCGACGCAGAAGTAACGCGGCAGAAACGACCCGTAATATCAGTGTTGCGTTTGGAGAGGGGTCTGCTAATTAACGCACCGTGCGATTTTGGTTTAAACGCTTTCGTGATGGAAACTTCTACTTGAAGAATGAAATGAAATGAAAATATCTTTATTCAAGTAGGCTATTACAAGCACTTTTGAATCGTCCAAAAAATTTTTTTTCCCCTACCACTTGTTCAGGACGTCTTTTAGCTGACAAGAAGAACAACCGAAAGAAACTTATCAGCTTTTTATCACAAGTAGTCATTACTTGAATCATGTCATTACCAAAATAATATGTATTATCACAATAATAAATACAACTTTCAAAGTCTGTAGGACATAGGTTGAACATATAATTAGTCTTTATAGAACAAAGCGAACATTGCGATCCTTAAAATAATAAGTGTGTTCTTTACATGAATTTTAAATTTATTTATGGGTACAACGAGCCACGAGTAAAACCACTAACACAGGTGAATAACGAAGAATGAAGAGGGATGGTGGAAGCCGATCTTAGTCAAACCACCCAGGAATTAGCGGTATGGTTTAACGTTACCTTACCCACAATATTGACTTATTTGCGTCAAATCAATAACATAAAAAAAAGAAAAATTGGGTGCCTCATGATTTGACTGATCTGCAGAAAGAAACGCGTGTTGAAATGTGTGTTGCCTTGTTGAATCAGAACATAAATGAAGGAATATTGGATTGAATTGTGACATGTGATGAAAAGTGGATTCTTTATGATAACCGTAAAAGAAAAATTCAATGGCTGACCCCAGGTCAAATACCACAACAGCGTCCTAAAGCAAAATTTACCAATAAAAAGATAAC